CTCTGATGCTGCCTGGCCTGCTGTGTTCCTCCACCACTTATCCTAGAGTTGTGTTATAATATCTCTGAACAAGTTGATTAGAAAATACACATATCCTATCACTGAGAAACATCCTTGAAACTTCAGTTATGGGATCATGTCTTTTCATAAAATAATTGTGTTTTTAGCTATTTACTATGTATGTTAAATAAAATGCAAGTATTGTAATGTGATGCAAAAGCAGGTAATTAATTGAATGTTTCTTTTTTTTTTTCTTTAGTGCAGTGGACAGTACTGTGAATGCAAATACATACCTAACGCAAGCATCTGTCTGTAATCAACCTGCCCCTTCAAATGTTGACATGACTAGTTACCAAAGTACTGGCCTAAATGGACAGCAGATGCCAAACTATAGTGTTGCCTCAGCAAGCCATGGGCAACAGTCCACCAGTCAGCAACAATCTCCTTACTCACAGAAAGCACTTCTATAGGAAATGTGATCACTCCCTCTCATCCATCTTATCCTTGACATCGGCTAGGAACGAATAGGTAGTAGTGCAATTTACAGGAATTGAAAGTCATCAATCTGCGCAGACTGCACCGAACTTTTTTTTTCACAAACAAAACCACCTTGTGCTGAAGGAGTACGAATGATAACCTGCCCCAGTCAAATGTTATGTTCTCACAATGACTGCAGCTATTTATAATGAACATAACTTCCTGTTTTGTGGGAAATTGTGGGACTGGTTGTTAGTTTCGTGTACGTGCATTGATTTACTGCATTAATGTTAAATTTGATAGCTATAAGTAAATGCGTGAACATAAACTGCTGCAGGTGGTATAGAAATTAATTCGTGTTGGCTTTAAATTTAGATTATCAAAGTTTTGTAGTAATTTTAAGTTATATATGTATATTATAAAATTTGTTTTTCCCTACGATGTGAAGAATGAAATCTATGTAGTCTCATTTTGCACTTCGTCAAAAGTGACCTCCCAAATGCCTGCAGTGATCTTTCTCCTTTGGACCAGAATAACTACCCGAGTAAATAACCTGTTGCAATACTTTATGCACCCCAGTAAGTCCACTTTGGTGTTTAAAATGGAAACTATACTGCTAGCAGTACTATAAAAATAACTTTATATGCAGTATGCATTTTTTAAATAGTAAAAGTTTTTGGGTTTAATTTCTCAGTGGAAGGCCAGAAGACTTATTATGAGCCACTTTGCAACTGTATGCAGTTCAGCAGTACAACTCTGATTTTCTCATTCTGTTATTTCCTCAGGGTCAGGCAGCCAATTACTGTTGGGATTAGAAAGTACTTATTTTCTAGAAGGAAGAAACTATTCTACTCCAAGGTAAAATGAATGTGACAAAGTCCAAAATGAAAACTGGAATTTCAATACAGCTGCTGGGATGTAAACCTCCTGTCAAACAATTTCTTAATATATATAGTTCTGGTGTTACTGTGGTGGTGCACGGAGTTTTCTTTTAACATAGCACTCCAATTTTACTGCCAAAACTCCCAAATCCCAGCTTTGAAGCAAAGGCTGCTGTTGATCCCTGGTCAGAATTGGAGTAAACTGTGTGGAATAAAAGTTTGAATTGAGACTGAGATTCGATAGCTTCTGCAATGATGGTTGAAAGAGTTTAGAAGACAAGTCGAGAACTTAAATAACGCCAAAGGAATTTTAATATGTCCTATCTTTATCTTGACCAACTGTTTGAAAATTGTTGAATTAAAAGAGTTGGAGTACTATGGCTATGAAGACACGTGGCAGATTTTCCCATAGTCTTTAGGACTTGACAATTTAATACTGAAATAGTGGGCAAACATACATTCACTCAACTGCACATTTCCGTAAATTGGCCATTTTTGTTCAGAGACCAGGTTTGCAGTCCATTGAAGGATGGCAGGTGATCTATCAAAGCTGGTGGACCATTAGCAGACCCTCCTGCTTGGAATTAGCAGCAGTGCAACAGCAGTGGGTGGGCAAGGGAGGAAAATGGAGGAGCCCTCTTTCCAACTTTTTATTCAAATGTAAAATAAAGAAAAGGTCTTTGTGGCCAGGCCATTCATCAAAATGCAAATATAACCCTTCTACAGGATAGCCTGTGGTTGCTGCTGAACTCAGGCAGACATGAAGGGAACATGTCTGAAGTCCTCATCTCCCCTCCACCACCCTGCCAATCAACTGCTGAGCAGTGTCTCTAGGTAACTGTTCTCCACTGCCTATGGTGACATGGAGACCAACTGGAAAATATCCCCCTTCCATCCCCAGCAAATACATGCACACACAGCAGGCTTCTGACAACTGGTCTTGCTACAGAATTAGCTTGGTCAGTTTCGGTTTGTGGGCAGCAGCCTTGCAGCGTCCACTTCAGGTCCTGACTTGAGAAAATGTCTCAGGGTAGGTCATGGAGCTAAGGAACTGTATGAAGACCAGTGACACAAAGCTCCACACCTTTCCGACTCTGCTCTCATTCCCATTGGGATAGCGGCAGAGCATTAAAAAATTTGGCTAAAAATTGAATATCCTTCTCATTTACAGTCTTCACTAGGGCTGTTGTACTGGTATTTAGTGCATTAGTGAACTTACTGGGTAATGCGAAGCAGGACATTCAGACTTGTATGTTGGTTCATTGCGATCTTTTCTTTTATCATGTTTGGAAGCCTTATTTTTATAAAAAAGGTAGGTGTTTGTCATAGTCTTTGACTTTAGAGATTCTATCCTTTTTAAAGACACTACCTTCATGAATAAAGTACTTGATGTGACCTTGTTTCGGAAGGGACCAAACCAGTGCATTTATGCAAGAATATTGCAGTCAAGTAACACAGTAATTTTATCGCCAACATTATTCATTCCGTTTGCAAGTGGTTTTGGAAAGATGAAGCTTACATGAGGATGGCGCTCCTTTGATTCAGTAATTTAAACTGGAGGTGTGATTTTTTTGCAAATGTTTGTTGTATTTAAGCTTTTTTAAATGTCTTGAAATAAATATTTTGTTAGGTTTTCTAATGTTCAAAATGATCACATTGTTTGCTTACTTCAATGCCATACAATGTCAAATTTAGTTGGAAATGTGTTAGTTAACGTGCAGGTTAACAGATGTAAGCATTAAGCTTTTTTCTCTAAATGCACAAAAGCAGTACACTAATGGTCCATAATTTTACAAATTCAGTTGAATGTTTATTTAACACTAATCAGAGAACATGAAAATGCTAATTAATTTGTGCTCTGTTGCCCATTTATACAAATCATTTTCAAGGGGACTTGTAAGAAAATAAGCAAAGATCCATGTATAAAATGTGAAAACATTTGTGCTAAAGAATGCTGAAGTATGTTTCAACAATATTTTAAAAATTTTGAATTTAAGAAAAAGCTGTAAAATGACTAGAACTTGTGTTTGTATTAACTTTGACTTGTTAGCTTTCAAATAACTCATAACAGAATGCCTGAATGCAAAAATTCCAAGACCATTCTATCATAACATTTCTTATTCTACTGCATGTCATGAGTTTAAAAAAAAAGAAAAAAATATCAGTAATCTTCATTGGGAGATAATTTCACAGTTGACCTGTGATCAACCAAGAATAGTTTAAATAAATACTGAAACTCAAATTGTACTGGTGTCAATTCATTTAAATTGTTTCATAGGTCAGTGCTCTAGTTCCTGTTTTCTGCAATATCTACAAAATGGTTTAGTGCTTCCTTGAAAAAACACTGCCTTTTATGCTCCTTTTGTTTTTAAACTTTTAGTTTACCTAGTCATAATATAAACCATCTTGAGGTCACTACCAAATGTGAATCGGGTGATCTGTTCAACCCCACTTGCATTTAAACAAATGAATGCAGTTTGTTGCTTTGGTATTTTTAACTTTTTGTAGAAATTCATTAAGTAGGGTCACAAGTCATACTGAGTAAGTAGACTTGTGTTCTTAATTTTTGCCACTGTTTTGACCATCTTTTTGTACCTAAGCAGGAGCTATAGATTTTGGTTCTTTTGTCTTATATTGCCTCCTCTTAATAGTAGGCATCCAGTCTTTGGGCCATTGCTGTATGAACGCTGAGTTGGATTTGTTTTGGATATTTCTGTACCCAATGTATTGCTTATTTAACATGCAGTACTCAATGAGCAGAAGTATCCTCCAATCAAATGTTAAGAAGACTAAAGACATTGTCTTTTGTCTTTGTTTTTGGTGCTTACTCTAAACTTTGTTTCCTTGCTGTTGATGCCATCCCTACCACTGACAACCGGTTGAGATCCAGCCAGTCTGTTCACAGCCTTGATATCACATTTGCTCTTGAGATGAACTTGCAACCGTTTAGTTATGCCTTACTAAGACCACCTATTTCCACCTCCATAGCATTGTCCAAATTTGCACCAGTCTGAGCTCATCTATTGCTGAAAACTTCATGCATTCATAATTTTTAGGCTCAGCTATTCCAATACAGTTGCTGGTTGGTTTCCCCACATTCTACCCTATAAACTTGACATCATGCAAAAGTCTGCAAGTATCATTCCCCTACTCCCTCTCCTCACTGGCTGGGTTCCTGGTCAAGCAACACTTGATATTAAAATGATTGTCCTTCTTTTCAAAGTATGTTCTCTTTTGATCTCTGTTACCTGTTGCAGACCCCCAATTCTCCCAAAATATCGACATCTTCCAATTCTCGCTTCTTGTACACCCCCAATTTTAATTGCTCCAGTATAGGTGGCTGTGCCTCAATTTGCCTAGGCCTCAGGTTCTGGAATTCCCTTTGTGCTTGTCTACCTCCCTCTCCACCTTTAAGACACTTGTTCCTTTAAAGACTAATTTTTGGATCAGATTTTTGACTGAATATCTCCTGATTCTATTCCACGATTTGTTGATATTGCTCCCCTGAAGCATTTTTTTGTTCCTTCATTATATTAAGGGTGCTAAATAATTATGAATTATTTTCATGAATAATTAGCAACTCATTTGATGTATGACTGCTTATATTTAGCTTGCTTCAACTAATTTGTTGAAAGATCTGTGGAAGAGGTTTTAAAAAATAGATGCCAACATTTCACACTATTATTAGCACTTGCATGAAGCCAAAAGTTTTAACATTTTGCTTCACGGTGGTGTCTTGGCTAGCATTTATTGTTTGTCACTAATTGCTCTGGAAAAGGTGGTGGTGAGCTGACTGCCTGAACAGCTGCAGTCCTTTGGGGCCTACAGTGTGGAAACAGGCCTTTCAGCCCAACAGGTCCATGCTGATCTTCCGAAGAGCATCTGACCAAGACCGATTTTCCCCCTACCCTATTCCTGTATTTCCCATGGCTAACCCCCCTAGCCTGCACATCCCTGAACACTACAGGCAATTTAGCATAGCCAATTCACCGAACTTGCACATCTTTGGACTGTGGGAGGAAACCAGAGCGCTTGCAGAAACCCATGGGGGGAATGTGCAAACTGCACACAGACTGTTGCCCGAGGATGGAATTGAACCCGGGTCCCTGGCACTGTGAGGCAGCAGTGCTAACCACTGAGCCACCGTGCTGCCTTTTTGTTTTTTACAGTGTGGAACAGGCCATTCGGCCCATTTGAGTCCTCACTGATCGTCCAAAGAGTATCAGGACCCAGACTCAACGCCCTACCCTATCTCTGTAACCCTGCATTTCCCATGTCTAACCCACCTACCTAAACATCCCCGGGCACTACGGGCAATTTAGCATAGCCAATCCACCTACCCTGCACATCTTTGGACTGTGGGAGGAAACCAGTGCACCCAGAGGAAACCCACACGCGTGGGGAGAAAGTGCAAACTTTTCTGTTAGAAAGGAGATTTCAGTATTTTGTATCACTAAGTCAATGATTTGGCCCACTGTCTGAACCAGATGTTCCCTGGTGCATTATTTCTAATGCCAGCAACGACGGGATGTAGAGGAATTAGGCTTTTGCAGATGTTTGGATGAGCTCAAGTGTCGATATTGGGACCAGTGCTTTTTCCTGATCTGTATTAATGATTTGGATCTTTGGTGTACAGGAGATAATTTCAAAGTTTGCAGATAACAACATGAAATTTGGAAGACTTGTGAACTGAGGACTGTGTAGACCTGCCAATTTGATGGAATCGGTGGATAGGTGGCAGATGAGGTTCAATGCAGAGAATTGTGAGTTGATGCACTTGTTTGGAAAAACAATTAAAGACCATATAAAATAGGCATGCAGGAGCAGAGGGTCCTGGGTGTATGTTTGTGCAGATGATTGCAGGTAGAGGGAGCAGTTAGTAAAGTAGTGTTCTTCGCTTCATTAATAGGGACATAGAATGTAAAAGCAAGAAGGTGACAGTGATGCATGACTTTGTGAGCTAGAGTACTGTGTACAGTTCTGGGCACCACAAGACTGGCTGAATGGCCTCTGTTACTACATTTTATGGGTTGGACTTGTCCAGTTATTTGTGGACTATATGTATGTGGGCAATTTAGCCCATCATTCGTTGGGTAGATGCTAATGTTGTAGCTGTTCTGGAACAGCTTGGCTGGGGGCACAGCTTGTTCTGGAGCATATCTCCAGTGTGTATGCTGAAATATTTTCGAAGCCCGTAGCTGTTGCAATATTCAGTGCTTTCAGCCACTCTTTGGGTCATGTGGGGAGAATCAAGTTAACTGAAGACTGGCATCTGAGATTCTGGGGACCTCAATAGGAGGCTGATCATCCACGTGGCACTTCTGGTTGAAGATGGATGCAAATGCTTCAGTCCAGTATTTTGCATCGATATGCTGGGATCCTCCATCATTGAGGATGGGGATGTGTGTGGAGCTGCCGCCTCCTCTACGCAGACAAAGCTGTAGATTGATGAGGGCAAAGTCAAGTAAGTTCTTCCTCTTTGTTCCCTCACCACCTGTTCCAGACCCAGTCTAGAAGGTTTGGCTTTTAAGACTCAAACAATTCAGTCATTAGTTATGCTAATGAGCAACTCAGGATTCGAATTTATGCACCACTATCTAATTGCCTAATCGATTCCTGTAGCCATGTGCACCCACACCACTGGAGGGAAGAACACACCCTGGAATGTGCTGGTGATGTATAGGTTATAGTTTATAAGGCATAAATGAAAATGACTGTCAGGCTTTGTTTTCCTAATTTTGACATGAGCTCCCAGATAATACCAAGATTAACTGTGTAGGCCTGACAGGGCTCTGTTTGCCAATATCAGTTCCAATACCTAGGTCGATGCTGGCTAGTCAGTCAGGTTTTGTCCTTTTCTTTAGACTTTGTAGTAGTTTTGGTAAAATTGAATGGTTTGCTGGTCCATCTCAGAACACTTAAGAATCAACCACATTGCTGAGAGTTTGGACTTACCTGGTCTGGTCTACATGACAACAAATTTCTTTTCTGCAAAGACATGTGACCAGATGAGACTTTTTAAAATGACAGTCTATTGGTTACATGGTCACCATTCAACTAGTTTTTAATTCCAGATTTTATTGAATTCAAATTTTACCGTCTCTCTCAGATTTTAAACTGGGTCCCCAGAATATAAACTGGAGCGCTGTATTACTAGTCTAGTGACATTATCACTGCTGTTGTCTTTCTAAAGGGTTTTGAGCCCAAGTTCCTCAGTGGCTGATACTTCAGTGCAGTACAGAGAAGTGCTGCAGAATTGAGAATGCCATCTATTGAATGAAATATTAAAACAAAACCCTGTGTGCCTGAACAGACAGACATGAAAGAATCCGTGGTATTATAAAGAGAAGTGCAAATTTTGCACTGTGTTCTAGTCAACATTACTAAAACAGATTATCTGGCCATTTATCTCAATTTGTTTATGGAGCCTTGCTGTCTGAGAATTGATTGTTTGCCTATGGCAACATCAAGATAGTCATTGACTGTGGTGTGTTTTGGATGCACTGAGATTTTCAAATGCATCACTAGATTAGTAATTGGTCCATCTGCAACTCCTTCCTCTAAACTGAAAATCTTGAGCAAGATTCCGTCATGTTTTGAAACCTATATTGAGGTAAGATTATTTCTTAATTTTTTGAAACTCTATTGCAAACTAAATTAGCATTGATGAAATCTTAACAACTACCCAGACTGCACAAGCTCAAATTTAAAATTTTAATGACAAGTGGTAGTCTCCCATTTTCTTTCTCCTCATTTTTACTCTTGCACAGTTTATCAAAAATAGAATTAAACAATTTAATCTGTTTTTAGATTTAGTTTAAGCCTATTCAACTTGGGGTGGAAAAACCCCCCACTAAATTCATGATTTTCCACAAGTTAAAGTTGCAATGCTGATAAATAGTGGAAACATTTTAATTGTTTTTCATGCAAAATTCCAGCGATTATTCTAGTTTCACAGTTGTAAATGGGAAAAGTTTCTTTTTTGAGCTGCTGAAGATATTATTATAGGTGTGTAGTAGAACAGTGCATTGTCTAAGTAATCAGCATTTATCATTTCTAATTGCCTTTTCAGGGGGCATTAAGATTCAATCACGTTCCTTTGGGCCTACAGTCACATTGAGGCCAGACTGGTAAGAACTGTAAATTTTTTCCCCCAAAAGACATTAATGAACTAAATGAGTTTATAAACAATAATAGTAACCACCGTT